TAGGTTTTCCACAAGAGGGCAGCATCACTTCATAATTTATGCATTGAATGCCTCAAGCAGCAAGGTCTGAAGTAGGGGTGCTGAAAAGGTAGAAAAGGTAGGTACTGGGAGCCACTCCTAATTGGTTTCCCAGAAAATCATACTCTGTAGTCCAGGCTACAATGCACATCGCAGTTATAATGCATTTACCATCTAACAGTGTTTGGCTTCTTTTATACATCAGAGAAGGGAATGGACTGAAATTCCCTGTTAAGGAATTATGTATCTATGGCCAAACCACCTTGATTTTCGAAGCTGATCAAGTTCAGGTCTGATTAGAACTTGAAAGGAAAAAGAAATATGTAAAAGGCATTTTGTATAAGTTGTGTGATTTAATCATCACAATAACAATACTATTCAAGGAATCAAAATTTCCACGTTATAGAACAAAGGAGTAACATCCAGGGAGCTATCAATACTAACAACAACTCTTATCAAGTGCTCCCTCCATAAAATGTTGCTAAAAACATAAATCATACCTAATCCAAAGTGAAAAAGACTTTGCTAGCAAACTCATAGGCCTTGAAGACCATCGTTAGCATTAGAAAAGCAACACTTCATACATGCTAGAATCAGTGATAGCATAGTAATTGTATACTTCAAGGCACTACTAACTGTGATGTCTATAACTGAAAAGATATTACATAATACTAGATACCAGAAGATCATGCAAACAAACAAACACCAAAAAACAATGGGATGCTATATAATCTGCCCTGTAACCCAAAACACTTACCCTGTCTCTTTTAAAAAGATTGTTTGGCTAATGACATTGAGCATTTCTTTAAGTGTTTCTCTGCCATTCGATATTCCTCTACAGAGAATTCTCTGTTTAGCTCTGTTCCCCATTTTTTAATTGGATTACTTGGTTTGCTGCTTTTCAGCTTCATTAGTTCTTTATATATACTGGATATTAGTCCTCTGTCAGACAAAGGGTTGATGAAGATTCTTTCCCAATCTGTAGGCAGTCGTTTTGTTTTGATGACAGTGTCCTTTGCTTTACAGAAGCTTTTCAGTTTCATGAGGTCCCATTTATTGATTGTTGCTCTTAGAGCCTGTGCTGTTGGTGTTCTGTTCAGGAAGTTGTCTCCTGTACCAACGAGTTCTAGGGTCTTCCCTACTTTTTCTTCTAACCGATTTAATGTGTCTGGTTTTCTGTTGAGGTCTTTGATCCGCTTGGACTTTAGTTTTGTGCAGGGTGATAAGTATGGATCTATTTGCATTTTTCTACATGTAGACATCCAGTTAGACCAGCACCATTTGTTAAAGATGCTATCTTTTTTCCATTGTATGGTTTTGGCTTCTTTGTCAAAGATCAGGTATCCATAAGTGTGTTAGCTATTAGGGAAATACAAATCAAAACCACACTGAGATTTCACCTTATACCCATCAGAACAGCCCAGATGAAAAACTCAAGTGACAACACATGCTGGAGAGGTTGTGGAGAAAGGAGAACACTCCTCCACTGCTGGTGGTAATGTGAATTTGTACAACCACTCTGGAAGTCAATCTGGCGCTTTCTCAGACAAGTAGGAATAGTGCTTCCTCAAGATCCAGCCATACCACTCTTAGGCATATATCCAAAAGAGGCAAAAGTACACAATAAGGACATCTGCTCAACCATGTTTGTAGCAGCTTTATATGTAATAGCCAGAAGCTGGAAACAGCACAGATGCCCCTCAACTGAAGAATGAATGCAGAAACTGTGGTACATCTACACAATGGAGTATTACACAGCAATGAAAAATAACGAAATCATGAAATTTTCAGGTAAATGCTGAGACCTGGAAAGGATCATCCTGAGTGAGCTGTCCCAGAAACAAAAAGACACAAAAGGTAAATATTCACTCATATAGACATATAATATAGGATAAACCTACTAAAATCTGTACATCTAAAGAAACTAATCAAGAGAGAGGACCCTGACTAAAACACTCAATCCCCATCCCAAAAGGCAAAGAGGATGGACATCAGAAGAAGAAGAAAACAGGGAACAACCTAGGAACCTGCCACAGAGGGCCTCTGAAAGGCTCTGTCCTGCAGACTATCAAAGCAGATGCTGAAACTTATGGCCAACTGTTGGGCAGAGTGCATGGAATCTTATGTAAGAAGTGGGAAATAGTAAGATCTGGAGAGGACAGGAGCTCCAAAAAGAGAGCAACAGAACCAGAAAATTTGAACACAGGGGTCTTCCCAGAGACTCATACTCCAACCAAGTACCAGGCGTGGAGATAACCTAGAACCCCTGCACAGATGTAGCCCATGGCAGTTTAGTGTCCAAGTGGGTTCCATAGTAATGGGAAGAGGGACTGCCTCTGACATAGTCTGATTGGCCTGCTCTTTGTTCACCAACCCCTGAGGGGGGAGCAGCCTTACTAGGCCACAGAAGATGACAAAGCAGCCACTCCCGATGTGATCTGATAGACTAAGATCAGAAGGAAGGAGAGGAGGACCTCCCCTATCAGTGGACTTGGGGAGGGTCATGTGTGAAGAAAGGGGAGGGAGGGTGGGATCGGGAGGGGAGGTAGGAGGGGCTTATGGGGCATACAAAGTGAATAAAGTGTAATTAATAAAATAAAATAAGATTGTTTGGATAAATGTTTGAATGTTACATGGGATCAATGGACGAAATGATAATAGCTCTCCTTCTGGTTTGGTTGCTGAAGTGTCATCAAGAAAGGAAGTTTTGGTGGACAATAAGGAGATGGGTCAGGGTTAGAACAGCGTACTGTATTTAAAATGCTATCAGTGTATCTAAATATAAATGTCCAAGAGGAAATTGATTATATGATCTGGGACAGAAGAGACAGAATCGCCCACATACAGATACAAATTGAAACAGGAGAAGCCAGTGAGCTTTTTCCATATTATAATTTCCATATTATGTTGAAGCAAGAAAAGGTGGAGCTACAGAAAACACAGTGGCTTGGGCATGATTTAAAGTAATGGCCAAGTAATAAAGAAGTCTGGTTAAAACATGGACAAAAAGTAGAGCACAAAGAAATAAACAGAATATGCAGAAAGTCACAGTTTTATATAAAAGTGTTATAATGTGGACCAATTACCAAATGTCTTTTATAAATCATGTATGATGAAGACTGAAGATAATCTACTGGCTTTGATAATAAGGCAACATTTTGTGAATTTGACAGTTATTACATCTGAATTATAGATGCCAAGTTCAGACCATAGGGATCCTAAACTTAATAGAAGATAGAAAAGTATATGCCATAAGGAAAGATTCTGCTTTTGAGACTATAAACAAAAGGAGGAAAACAGCAGTAGCCAGAGGGAGAAATATAATGGAAGGTAATTTGCATTTTTCCTCTAATAATAACATATTATAGTTTATATCATATGATATGATGTATTATATTAATCATTCTTTAATAATAGCAATGATGTAGAAACATTGGCATGTAGATAAGATAAAGGAAACCAACCAATAAAAAGAAAAAGCCTGAGCTCTAGCAGCTCAAAGTAGAGATGCAGCAGAAAAATGAAAGAAATGATCTTGGAATGGAGTTCAAATGTGAGAGCACCTTCCTAGCATCAGGAGGCCCTGATATATCCATCCTGAGCACCACAATAAAAAAGTATGTGTGTGTGTTCCTAAGTACATAAATACAACATGTTAAGTCCATATCAAATTACTTGTATGTTTTCAGGGTTGACCATTTGGTACTGGATAACAAATTGGTGTTGGTGTGCTCTTCCCTGGGGAAGACTGTTTCTCTGGTGCCTAGTAACAAAGAAAAAAAAAAGGCCATGGATTTGAAAGAGTACAAGGGAAGAGAGTTTAAAGGGAGGGAAAAAAAGGGTGAAATTATGTTATGGCCTTATAAGCTCAAAAGCTAAAAAAAAAAGATCTAAAAATTGAAAAGAGTTGACATGAATAGGCAGACGCTTTGGCAGCAGACTATAGGCAATGGTGTCTCTGCCCTCGCTTTTGCTGCTATAGCTCCATTTATCCAGAATCTGTCTATGGTGGATGGTTTATTTTTCTAATTTTATCCAACTTTTTGCTCCAATTTTAATTCCTCCCTTGAATCTAACCCTGTGACTCTTATCTAACATGATCTCTTTTTTTCTCTTTAATTAGCAGTTTCTGTCGGAACAATCCATGTAACAAACATGGACAATTCCGTGAAACTTTTTGTTTCTTTAAAAATGCAATTTTTGGCTACACTCAGTGGTAGGCTCTCTGATCACCTCCTGCTGGGGGAGGGTGCGGCCTTGCCAGGCCACAGAGGAAGACAATGCAGCTAGTCCTGATGAGACCTGATAGGCTAGGGTCAGATAGAAGGGGAGGAGGGCCTCCCCTATCAATGGACTGGGGAAGGAGAATGGGGGAGAAGAGGGAGGGAGAGTGGGATTGGGAAGAGACAAGGGAGAGAGGCACAGCTGGGATACAAAGTGAATAAATAATGATAATAATAATAATAAAAAATAAATAATGATAATAATAATAGTAAAAAATAATAAAAATGTTTTTCACAGAAAAAAAAATTATTGGTTCCTTGACATACTTTTTCACCTGCTACACTGTACATTTCTCATGGGTAACATTTCTGTCTTGGAGTTTGCCATAGCCTCCAGACAGCCTACCATGGCTGGCAGTAGGGTTTCATTAAATCTCCGTTGATATATGATAGTTGACGACTCTGTTATGACAGAGGAGATAGAAAATCTCCTGTGTTACACAGAGCCTTGCAAGTTTTGAGACACTGAGTTCCAGAATAGCAAATGGGTCCTGAAGAAGCCTTTATATAAAGGAGTACAATGAGTATATGGCAGTGTCAAAATATCAACTGAAGGCCCTTTGTCCACTCTGCTTTAGTTGTCTGCACACTTCTCTTCACATGATATATCTCTTCTTGATGGTAATGATAGTGATGCTACTTTATTGAGACTTTATTATCATCAGGTACTTTTCAGTGGCCTCTGCACCTATACCTTACCTCCTGACAATCAGCTTGAGGATCCTGAAGGAGCCTTTAATAAGGATGAGGGCCTCTTGGCGGGAGCCATATAATGGAGTGCCGTTGATATTCACCAGCTCATCACCAGTTCGCATCTTCTGAGACAAGGCTGCCTTGCCTCCATCTTCAATCTGTGTTGCAGAGAACAAAACAGAAAGCAGATGGTAAGGGGATTTCTGCCCCATAAGTTTACTTCCTGACTTCTTCTAACCTTGTAGACACAAGTAGGTTTGGGAAACAGCTCCATTCAGCTTTAAGAAGAGCTGAGGAATGGATCACAGGCCATTGACTACTGAAGGCAGAACTTGCACATGCTCTTGAGAACGGAGGCAACACAGAAATAAGGCAATTCCTCCCTAAAAGAATGAATAGTTCATATGGGAAGATAGCATTTCCAAAAAAAAAAAAAAAGAATTGATGCTAAGAAGGAAATCCATAGTGTTGCTAAAGTAGCCCCAAGGCTTGGCAAAATGTACATTCAAATTAGACCCAGGAAAACTCCATCAAAAGTGACAAATCTTTTCCTACCTTTGGACAGGATTTGAAGTCTGACAAACTTGTGTTTTAACTTTGGCTCGAATGCTTTCTAGCTTTGAGGTCCTGAAGTTACCCACCACTTTAGAATTAAATTGCCTTATACGCAGACTATAGATAACAACAGCACCCATCTTAAATGATTGTTAGATCACCTGTTTGAGTCCTCAGAGTTCTTAACTCAATATGAGTTCTGATTATTATAACAAGGGGGTTGATGCTGAAAACCTTGATCGTGACTTCCAGCTTAATATTCTGTAATCAGAATCTCCAATTCTAAACATAAAGTAAGTATAAAGTACATTATATTCATCTTTTCAACACATTCCTAAAATATGCCAACGAGCATTTGGCAACAGCTAGGAATGTGTTTACTAACCCACCACAACCTAAACATTCCTTGTGAACAGGATCATCTTGGCAGAAATGTTTTAAGGGTGAGGGACACTAAAAACAAAAATAGAAGCAAGAGCTAGGAGGATAGGTAAAAGTAAACCAGAGTAGCTCTGAAGACCTGGGTTTATAGCACATTTGATATATAATATTCTGCTCACAATAAAAGTGAATTCCATCTGTTTGGTTATTAATTCCATCTAGAGTAATGGGGACATCTCATCCATCATAAATTCATTCTCCAAGTACTTAATGTATTTTAGTATGCAAAGACAATAAACACACTAAGTCGTAGAGGTGCACAAGGGGGGAAAAAGCTCTCAGTTCCTAGCCTAGAAGGGAATTATTGTTTAAAGATTATATGCCCACTGAGATGATCAGGTTAAATCCAGCCTACCCATATTAAGTGTTCTGGGGAATATGGGAAGTAAGAATGATTAATATAATTCTTAGGGGAAGGAAGGTTCTAAATGAGATCAGTAAGGGCTGACATTTAAGGTGACTATGATTATACTAATCTTTCTCTCAGTCTTTAATCACTGAACTTGTGCCCACACCACAAAAGTCAGAATATTGTTCTAAGTTGGTCAGCTTTTGTGAACTCTCACGTAGAATCCTTTCAGTTCAAAGAAATAAATATTAATTTGGGATTTAAAAAAATCCCATTAAAGAAATTGAAATTGTGGGTAAATAACAGCATTATTAAATATAATGCTGTAACCCAACATTTTTTAACCTCTGAGAAATCATAGGATAGCCAATTCAAATATACACACACATACACATACACATACTCATGCCCCTACAAACAATGAAGTCAAATACACAACAAATGGACATGCCAACTCAGATGGGGAAAAATTCACAAGCTATAGAGAACCAATGAGTCCCGAAATGGGAGAATTGGTGTTCTCAAGGAATGAGCTTCTTGATAAGTTATCCAAATTTAGCAGTCAGCCAGAAACTAAATAGTCTCAGCAATTACCTCATGATGAATGGATAGATAATACATAGATACATAGATAGATACATAGATACATAGATGATAGATATGGACAATATATGTCTATATATGTAACAATAATAATTTTTAAAGACATCAATAATTTGAAAGGGAATAGAAAATGTGGGAGGAGTGGGAAGAGAAGGATGAAACTTAAGTACAGTGCTCAAAAATTAATTAAAAAATTAAATTAAAAACAAAATTAAATAGCTTAAAATTTAGAAGGCAAATAGACAATATTAAAAGCTATACAAGAAGGAAGTATTACTCTCCAACGAAATGAGAAATATCAGGATAACATCAGACCTCTTGTCAGTGATGTTTGAAGCTACAAAAGCATGAGATGGCATATTCCAACTACAGAAAGCCAGTAACGACTAAGATCGCTACATCCAGCAAACTTATCATGCAAAAGTGATGGAAAATAAGGAAACTTCAAGACAATCACAAGCCATGCTGTTCATAACAACCAAGGTAACATTGCAAAAGATACCAAAAGAAATACTAACAGGGGAAGAAGAATGTCTCATTCAAAAAAATCATAGGAAAGAATTAGTTTCATAAGAGAAATTAAAAAGAGACAAAAAGCTAGGTAGGAATCCACCACATTTAACACAATAAATCAGAAAGCCCTAATTCTAATTCATGAGACAGAAAGAAAAACAATAATCCAGATAAATGAAAATGTAAACATCAAAATAATAGGAGTTTTACCTATACTGAGAGGTAATACTCTCAGTATTACCTCTCAGTAATAGCTTTAATTATAAATGATCTCAACTTATTAACAAAGAGACACAGACAGGCTCACTGGACTTAAAAACAAAAACAAAACAAACCTAAATGGCACTAGCTTTTGTCTTTAAGAGAAACATCAGGACTTAGGCATGTTTCCAGATTCCAAGATTGCGGTGACCAGTGCACACTGTTTCTGAAGGGCAGAGGATCCAAAACTCTGAAACTTGTGAGTGGATGGGCGGCTGAAGCCAGAGATCTACTTTGAGGCTTCCTGAGCTAGAGGGGGACAGCTTCGTGAGCTGGGACAGATTGGATTCAGGTCTCCTCCTCCAGTGGACATCTCCTGGGGTCTTAGAGTAGTGAACTATTGATCCCCTGCACTTTCAGCTGCACTTTTTCTGGCTCCCACAGGGAGTGCATAACCTTAGGTATGGGGATTCTTTACTATAAGGGCCAAACAGGGGATACAAATCTGAGAGCAGAAACTACTGTGGGCCTTCTGTGCTTACCACATACCCCTGCAAGTGAGTTCGTGGGCTGTCTGCATTTTCCACATACACCTGCAAGTGAGTGCTTCTGTGAGAGAGTGCATACAGAGCCCCAGATCATGAGTCCCTCTAAGCCAGCAGCCACACTCTCACTGTGGGTAACATAGGGGTCTCTGGGACAACTTTCTCAACATTGAAGCCCCTGTTCTGTGGGTCTCTCAGTGGAGTCCAGGCAAACAATTCCTGGAAACAATTCCTGGAACCAAGATGGTGCAGCCCAGACAGATCTGAATGCTTGGAGCATAATACTGAGACAGGCCTGTGGGCTACTGAGCCATTCAGGGTCCCTGCTCACACATACTGCACCTATGATCAGCACCTGCTCCACAAAATGCACTTGTGCTCTTCCTGTACACTTCATTCTTCCAGGCAGGCACACTGCCACACACACTCCTGTGCTTCCACACTTGTGACTGCAACCTTCCTCCCTTACCTGCATCTGAAACACCATCACCTACTCTCAAACCTGTGGACCTCTCTCATCATCCTGAAGAATACTCCAGACTCCAGAGACAGACAGACTCAGTCTGCAGTATATACTCTAGGAACAAACAGCATAGGCTACAGACCATCAAATGGCTAGAGGCCAGCATAAGAACACATCCAACAAAAATCAGGACATCATGGCTTCACCAGCAACCCCCAAAACAATGGATATGTGAATTCATCAGAAACACAGGAAAATGATTTCAAATCTATGCTTATTGAGTTATTAGAGGCACATAAACAGGAAACAAACAAAACTCTCAAAGAAATACAGGAAAATATAGTCACACAAATAGAGGCACATAAAGAGGAAACAAAAAAAAATAGAGCCATCATGTAAAGACAGGAATCCACATTCAAACAGATGAAGGAAATAATGCAATACATGAAAATAGAATTAGAATCAATAAAGAAAACACAACGGAGAAAACCCTGGAGCTGGAGAACTTAGAGAAAAGATCAGGAAGCACAAAGGTAAGCATCACAAACAGAATACAAGAGAAAGAAGAGAATCTCAGACGCTGAAGATTCAATTGCAGAAACTGACAAATCTCTCAAAGGAAAAATTAAAAGCAGAAAAGTTCCAAACACAAAATATCCAAGAAAAAAAGGACGCCATGAAAAGACAAAATGCAGTCTTTTAAAAATTACTCTGGAAGCTCGACATGGTGCCCACCTGTAATCCCAGGACTCTGGGAGGCTGAGGCAGATGGATCTTTGTGAGTTTGAGGCCAGCCTGGTCTTCAAAGTGATTACAGGACAATCAAGGCTATACAGAGCAACTCTGTCTAAAATTAAACAAACAAACAAACAAAAATGGAATACTCTGGACTGGTTGGTCAATGGAATTGAATAGAACATCCAGAAATAAACTAACATACTATGGACTCTTGATCTTTGATGAAGGAGCCAAAACAGCATACAATGGAAAAAAGACAGCATCTTCAACAAATGGTGCTGGTCTAACTGGATGCTTACATGTAGAAAATGTAAATAGATTCTTATTGATCATCCTGCACAAAACTGAAGTCCAAGTGGATCAAAGACCTCAACATAAAACCAGACACACTAAACCTGTTAGAAAAAAAGTAGAGAAGAGCCTTGACCTCATAGGCTTGGGATACATCTTCCTGAACAGAACACCAACAGCACAGGCTCTAAGATCAACAATCAATAAACGGGACCTCCTGAAACTGAAAAGCTTCTGTAAAGCAAAGGACACTATAAGCAGAACAAAACAACAGCCTATAGACTGGGAAAGGATCTTCATCTTTATATCTGACAGAGGGCTAATATCCAAAATATATAAAAAACTTAAGAATTTAAACACCAACAAACTAAGTAATCCAATTAAAAATGGAATACAGGGCTAAACAGAAAATGTCCAATAGAGGAATATCAAATGGCAGAATAACACTTAAAGAAATGT